TATAGGATAGAATAGAGCTGCTCTATGTTGTTGTTGTTAAGTGCCGTCCATAGCGACCCTGTACAGGGTTTCCAAGGCTATAAATCTTGACAGGAGTAGAAAGCCTCATCTTTCTCCCATGAAGTGGCTAGTGGTTTCGAACTGCTGACCTGCTCTATGGAGATCCTGAATTTGAGGGAAGGTTTACAGAGATCATTATTTTACATTCAGCAAATCATACACTTCCTTTCCTCTCAGTGGTTGCAGTTCCCTCAATGTGACATCACTTACCCCACTTCCTCCCAGTGCCACTTCCCCGCACCCTTCTGAACTCTATCCTTTGTAAATGTGCTGCCCTTTTGATTTTAAATGATTGACCATTCTGTGGTGTGTGCACCTCAGTAGTATTATTGTCCCCCCTATATACCTGTTGCTTGGCTGAAACGTATTCATTTCAAACCTGAAGGGTGTCCAAGGATCAGTCTGACGAGTAAGCCTAGGCTGTTTGTGATTTTGTGGTTTGTTCCAGTTTCTCCAACTCTATCCAGGACATTCTAATGTGATCCCTGTCAGGACAGTTGGTAGTGGTAGCCGGGCACCATCCAGTTGGAGGGGACATTATTACTTTCCATAATTTGCAACTAATTGTAGAGCAGTTCTCATCTCAGCTCTGTAACTCCAGCACTCAAGTCAGCACAGCAGTCTTCTTCCCCTATTTCTTCCTGGTGGGTGTTCCTTTGTAGTGGGAGCCGGGGTAACTGCATTCACACTTCAGATGTGACGTTTGGGGGTGGTTTTTCAGAAGTATTTTGACCACTGACACCTTTATTGGGATTGAAGTTCCTTGTAGTAGAATCAGCATGGAGCATCAGTTGTCTGAAATACGGAGGGCATTTCCCTGTGGTACAAATGCTCTGTGGGGGCTCCTGTCGTTCTTGTTCATGCAGAACTTGTTTAGCACCTGGAGAACACACTACCTACAAACACCCTTGGGTGCACTATAGTGGTCTGTGCTTCACTCTTCACTTGCTGCTCTTGGGTTTTTAATTCAGTCACTGAAAGTTTCTAAGGTAGTTGGAATGCTGCAATCCAGATCTCTGAGCGGCCAGTTAATTACTGGATTAAAATGTAGAGTCAGCAGAAGAACAACTTTGGTTCGGCTATAGTGGTGCACCAGCACAAGAAAGGGGCTTAGAGGCAGAGTCTGCTCTTGCTGCCACGATGGATAATAGCACTTTTTGAGCTTTGACAGCACATCAGCACTTTGCTTACTGTGCACTGTGTGCTTACAAATATTTGATTTTTATAAACCCTTTTGGAGTGGGTACTATTCAGTATTCCTTATAGGTTGGGCATTTGGTTTTGTCTTGATTGCTTCCATTTAGAGAAGGGAGGTCATTATCTAATAATGAAGCAGTCCATTGTGTACCCCTAGAGTTGTTAAATAAGGAGTCCTGGTGGTGCTGTAGGATAAGCACTGGATTGATAAACCCAAAAGTTGGCAGTTCAAACCCACCAGCCGCTTATCAACAGAAAGATGCTTTCTGCTCCTGTAAAGATTTGCAGCCACAGAAGCCCTGTCTAGGGTTTCTTTGAGTTAGAACTGACTTGATGGCAGTGGGGTTTGTTTTGGTGGTGGTGTTTTGGGTTTTGTTTGCTAAATATGTTTCTTACCTTGAGCTTTGGTCTACTTACATGTAGCCCCTCTGCCCGTTGGTCTAAGAGGCCTGTGGCCTGGAATCACTCAGAACAAACATCTGTTTCCATGTAAGAGGTGATGCATCTATTTGTGTGACCATGTGATACTTCTAGTCAAGTATCTTCAGCTCTCTAGGAGGCTCCAGAGTGCCTTACCCTGCTGACCTCTGCAGTGGTCCCCACATATCACCATCTCACTGAAGACAAGTACTCAAATGTGGCCTGAGGCCTCAGCAAAGACCATTGCTTCTTCTGACCACCTTCAGCATCCTGGTGCTGGCTCTTGCTGTTTTGCTATGCCTTTTAGCCTAAAAGACTTCACATTGCACCCTGTTAACTTCATTTTACTTTTTCTTCCTCCTTTCCTCCCTTCCTGTCTTTATATTTCTATCTTTTTTATTTTTATTTTGGAATCTTTTGATAGCCTCTGTCAACCCTTGCTGCTACCATTTTTTGCCTGAGCATGTTTGAATTAAACTTCCAGTTAGATTCTCTGCCATTTGTATTTCCTAAATCATTTTTGAATTAATTTTACTTTGGTAAACTATGTGACATAAAATTGGCTATCTTAGCTGTTTTTAAGTGTACAGTTCAGTGGTCTTAAAGTATATTTGCTTTACACAGAAAATGTTGTGTAATTATCACTCATAACCCCACCTTCCTTTCAAGTCATCTTCCATATCGGTACTTGGGGTGTTAAGATACGAACATGAGTTTGCTTGTCTTGTCCCTGCTCAGAATTCCTTTGTGGTTTCTGAAATCAACTGCTTGATGAACCCCATCAGTTGGGGCTGAGGGTGGCAGGTGAGGTCTCTGCCTTTGTCATGGGAGCCAGTGCAACTGCATTCACACTTCAGTCTCTACCACAGCCACCAGGAGACTACTGGTGAGTGCCTGAGAATGCACCAATATACAGTCACTAACTAAATATAAATTCAACATCATGTCTCAGAGAAAGCAATGTCAGCTTACATGAAGAAACAAGACAGAGTACCTCAGATTATCAGAACTAGCCGAAAAGGAATTTTTAAAAAATACCAATTAGGCAACTTTGTTCAAAGGATAGAGAGAGTGAGAACTGCAGAAGAAGTCAAAGAAAACATAGGCAAAATTATGGGAAAACTCCGAAACAAACTAATGAAATAATTGAAATGATGGAAACCATATAAGAACAGCAATAAGAAAACCAGAAGATTAACATTAAGACATCAGAAATAGATAATGCACTGAAAGGGAAAAGAAATAGAACGGAATCAATGGAAAGCAGAATTACTTTTCAGCTGCTAGAGGAACAATCAGAAAAAGAACAAAGAAATCTGAAGAAAGCCTAAGATTTACATGGACGCTGCGGGTTAAAGTGCTGGGCTGCAAGGTTGGCAGTTCAAGCTCACCAGCTGCTCCTCGGAAACTTATACAAGGTTGCTGTGAATCGCAACTGACTCAACGACACTTGATAAAAACATCAAGAGAAAAAACTTATGCGTGATTAGAATTCCAGAAAAGGAAAAAACAAAAAAAGAATATTGTCCAAGAGTTGTTGGAAGGAAACTTACCTGACATTATGAAAAATGAGAAGAGAACCATTCAAGAAGTTGAATGAACTCCAAACAGGATAAACCCCAAAAGAAACATACCAAGACATGTAACCACATTTTTAAAAACCAAATACCAGGTAAGAATCCAGAGAGAGCAGTTCAGGAAAAACAAGAAGCTACCTACAAATGAGAATTAATAAAGACTAAGCTCTGATTCTCCACAGAAACCACGCAGAAGAAAACGGAATAACATATAAAACTCTGTAAGAAAAAAATTACCATCAAACTGTCTATCACAGAATGAGGACAAAATTAGGTAATTTTCAGACAAACAAATTAGAAGAATTTGTAAAAACCAGACCAATCTTAAAAAAAATACTAAAGGGAGTTCTTTGGACAGACAACCAATAGCAGACAACCTGAAATTAATATACATGACAATATCACATAGAATCAGCCCAGATATGTTAAGTGCTATCAAGTTGGTCCTAACTCATAGCGACACTGTGTAGGGTTTACAAGGAGTGGTTGATGGGTGTGAACGCCTAACCATGTGGTTAGTAATCCAGTGCTGATTCTACAGTGCTACCCAGGACTCCAAATATGCAGACTAATTCAGGCTCATAAATAGACAGAAAATAGAGAACCAGAGATACGGTTACAGCACCACCAACAAAACAAAGTAGGAAGAGGGAATAGTGTAGTTACAGAATTTCCAAATAAAGCAGAAATCAAACAGATTTCAAGAAAAGAATAAACTAGACCTAGCCTTAGCCCAACCCTCACCTTTAATCTTACTACCAGCCATAACCCTAACAATAAACAAAGTCCTAGGGCCTAGTCTTAGACTTCAAAGACGTTTGAACTGCAAGATGGATGGTTTAGGCTCACCAGCTGCTCCTTGGAAACCCTATACAGGATCGCTATGGGTCAGAATTGACTCGATGACACTTAACAACAACAACAGGCCTAGCCTAGATCTAGCCATAGTCCCAACCTTAATCCTCACACCTGTCTACCCACCTTGCACAAAATAGCTTTTAGAAGGGCACTTCATTTTTAGGAAACAATTCAAAAGAGGTAAAAGTGAGTACTGACAAGTATTTATTGTCACAGACAGATAAGTTTGGAATACAATGTGCTTACAGAACAATCAAGTTTTCTTTCAAGCGCATTACATCAAAAAAAGAAATAGCATTATTTTCAGAAGTTCTTATCAGTCATACTACCTTCTAAGAATGTACCTTGTACTGTAACTTGTCACTGTTTGGTTTTAAGACTTTTATAACCTTTGTCTTTTTTTTCTTTTAACTTACTTAAATTGCAAAATATGGCACCTTGTGTATTTCTTTGGTTTCAGGTGAAACTTGAGTCATCTATCTGTACTTTTCCCTAATCAATCCCAGTGTTGTGTGAGTGGTTTCTGCCTGAGTCATTTCCTTACTACCATGCTGTTCCCTTGGTTTTGAGTGGACACGTGTTCTCTTTGTGACCACTAAGTGGCCTTTTTAGAGGCTTGTTTTTCTGCTAGTGAACTTGATCATATGCAAAAAGAAGTTCATACAGCAGAATTAGAACAGATTTCAAAATCTCTGTTTATTTAGTAGAATATTAATTGTTTGATATTGGCTTTTCTAGTCCTAGAACTCTTCTCTGTATCTAGTTTGCCAGTCTTTTCTCTTCTCATTTCTTTCATGATTGCATGGAAGCTTTTTAAGATTCTAAAGATTTAAAGGCCTGATACTGTTCCCTGGAACACAGTTCTACAATGACATGCGTGGAAATACCATGAGTTGGAGTTGATGTGACCCCTGATCCCCAGGGTAAAGGAACGCAGTAGACCTGGTGTGGACGGTCCACCTTCTCACGTTGACTTTACTTCTAGCTCTAGGTAGCCCTGTCCTCGGCCTAAAAGAATGCACCAAAGGCTCCGCGGTATGGTGCCAGGACATCAAGACGGCGGCTTCCTGTGGAGCTGTGAAGCACTGCCTGCAGACAGTCTGGAACAAGCCAACAGTGGTGAGTCCTCGACTTGGTGGCCCCAGCATTCTCGGGTTTGCTTTGTGTTGCACCTCAGAAATAAGGGGGATCATCTTTCCTAGAATGTATACTCTATGCTCTGCTCATTAGAAGAATCAGACTTATTTTATTAACCACACAGTACTAAGTTTTTCCTTTTTAACGTTTTCAATCCCGGGCCAACGTCACTACTGTTGCCATGCTTGAGCCCATCGATGCTACCACTTGGCCAGTCCATCTTGTTGGGAGTCTTCCTCTTTTTCTCTGACCCGCCACCTTAACAAACATGATATCCTTCTCCAGTGACTGGTCCTTCCTGACAATATGTCCGAAGTATGAGAGACGAAGTTTGGCCATCTTGGCCTCCCAGGAGCACTGCAGAAGTTTAAATCTAGAGCCTGTTCCCAATGTTGGTACCTGGGCACAGTTCCTTCCCTTGTATATGCTAAGCATTTCAAGTTTTTCCAGACTTCTGGCTTTTGCCTTTCTACTCCCCTCTTCTTTGTCTGCGCCCAGACAAGTCATGAATTCAGATCTTAGACCTTGTTATTGTTGCTAAGTGCCACGGAGTCAGTTCTGACTCGTAGCAGCCCTGTATAGGGTTTCTGAGGAGCTGTTGCTAGGTTTGAACTGCTGATCTTGTGGTTAGCAGTCCAGTGCTGATCAGAGTTTTGTGTTGCTAAGTGCTGTCATAGTGGCCCTGTGTAGGGATTCCAAGGAGCAGCTGGTGAGTTTAAATGGCAACCTTGAGGTTCAGACCAACCTTGCACTGCATTGGAACTCTTAAGAGTTTAGGAGCTATTGTTTTAAAGTCTTTTTTCCATTGGCAGCCAGACTGGGAAAGGCAGCCACACAATTAACTGTAGCATATTAGTTTAGTGGAAGGGTGGGGTACGGTGGTAACTCAGTGGTGGAAGGCTCTCCCCTTCCCTGCTGGAGACGCAGGCCCGCTGTCCTCTTGTAGCCCCTCAGACACCGCCCCTCCCCGTCTCAGAGGAAGCCTGCATGCTAGCTGCTGAGCAGGTTTCAGCAGAGCTTCCAGAAGAAGACTAGGAAGAAAGTCTACTTGGGGAGTAGAGAGATGTACTGCCCCAAATAAACCAGTGAAACCCCTGTGGGTCACAACGGTCGAATCCATAGCCAATCAGGAAGGTGGCACAGGATTGGGTGGTGTCCACTCACTGAGGGTCAAAGAATGTCTAGATGACTGCTAACAGCAGCAGTTTAATGTGGGACTGTTGCTAGGTGACCCCAGTTGACATTGCTGGGTAAGTGATCCCATGTGACTCAGTAGAGTTGCCCCACAGGCTGTGATCTGTATGGGAGCAGATCACCAGGTCTTTCTTTAAGATGACAAAACCTTGTGTGCAGTCGATTGCACAAGTTCTGAGCCCTCTCAGGAGATACCTGAGCTTTGCCAACAGCACCAGCCAAACCTCTCTCTTGGCTCTTGGCTCATGGGGACACCTTATCTGCTGCCCATCGTGTGGTCTAGGCCACGTTTGACTGAGTGGAATTTGAGTTCTAAAAGTTGTCACTAGAGGTCACTAGGCCTCCTTTGTAAGAGAAGGATCCATGAGAAGAATGTTGATATAATTAATATTGTGCTTTTTAACAAATAATTATAATTCTCAGTTATTCATTGGGGAACTACTGTCTATGGGCATTATACCTCAGATTTGGTTTCTGATTGGCTTTTTTTGGGCATCGATGAACAAAAATTTATTTTCTCAATGTTTGTTGTTAGGTGCCTAATTTGATTTTTGGATATTGTCTGTCGTTCTTACTACTGGGCTGGTTGACTGTGTGCCTTTGAGTCAGTTCCTACTCAGAGCGACCCAGTAGGGTTTTCGAGGCTATATAACTTTTTATAGGAGCAGAAAACCCTCATTTTTCTTCCAGAGAGCAGCCCAACATAGAACCCATGATACCATCAGGGCTTCTTTTGGTTTTGTTTTTAATATTCCGTCTTTCCAGGTTTAATGTGTACCAAGTGAGAACTTCAGCTCTGATTCTTTGAAAGAACTGAGCTTCTCTTGGTATGGCCTCATGTATGGTGTTAGCCTGACTAGGTCCGAAGGTTCAAATTGGTTTTTCTAAATGCTACCACGTTCCTGGGTGCACCTTAATCTTCTCAGACATGTCCGTGGGTCGAAAGGTGACTGACATCTAGAACATGTTGATGGGTGCATTACTGCCCAAAAACTGGGAGAAACTGAGTAGAATGTCTACAACTCCTGGGTTCTTCTGTGGGATTCCTGGTCATTCAGTGGGTTGAACATTGGGCTACTTAACCGGAAGGTTGGCAGTTCAAACCCACCAGCCGCTCCATGGTACGAAGATGACGCAGTCTAGGAGTCCTGGTGTGACGCTGTAGGGTAATGCGCTGGATTGCAAAGTTGGTTTGAATTGTGAGGTGGCAATTCAAGCTCATGAGCTGCCCCTCGGAAACCCTTTTTAGGGTTTCTTTGGGTCAGAACTGACTTGATGGCACTTAACAACAACGTTGTAAAGATTTACAGCTTTGGATACGCTCAGGAACAGTTGTACTTTGTCCTATAGGGTCACTCAGAGAATTGACTCAATGCAGTGGGCTTGGCTTTTGGGTACTGGGGGGGCTGTTATCAGAAGACTGGTAGTGTGATGTCTCAGGCTTTGGAGTGGGGCTGTTTGGCCTTGACAGGAACACAGCACTTAGCCCAGGGCAGAAAACAGAGTGCAGGTAAACACCAGGGGCTGGCTCCACCCACTGCTTACTATTGGTGATACTCATTCACCTTTTCTCCCAGCATTGCTAGGGTGAAAGAGGAGCTATTACATTTTACACTAAGTAAAGGACTGAGGGATAGAGGGTACAAGGAAGGCATCTATCCCGAGTGTTCTGATAAATCTCACCTCACTCTTCCCTCTTGGTGTACCCAGTGCTTCTCTAGGTTGGCAAGCCAGGGTGGGTCAGTATGTGGGCCCTTGTAGAAAATGATCATTGATCACTGGTAATGCAAGATACGAAAAGGGCCAAGCTGGTTGATTTCATCAGGGTGGGGCCTACAGTGTGTCCTATAAAGACAAATACGTCTCCCTTATGTTCTTTCCTCTTAGAAATCCCTTCCCTGTGACATATGCAGAGATGTCATCACCGCAGCTGGCAACCTGTTGAAAGAAAATGGCACCGAGGTGAGCTGCAGTGTGTCGACTTGTGGGTGACAGCTGCATGCATAAGACGGGCTCAGTAAGTGACGAGAGAGGAAAGGACAGGCCCAGGAATCGGCACGCTTCTCTAAGGGTGGGCTGTAAATGTCCTAGGCTTTGTGGGCCACATGCTGTCTCCAGTACATACACACGCATTTATTTTTAACCTTGGAAAAATGTAAACAGGCTGAGGAACATAGTTAGCTGATCCCTGGACTGCTAGTCAACGTCCACGGTTAACTGGGACTCTCTGCTCGTGTTAGCTTTTAGGTCTGCTTCTGCTATCTCTGCTCACAGTGCTTTGTGCCTGCGAGACTGTAGGTCAAGGGTCTTACTGTGACTCTCCCTATCTGGTTTTTGCCTGATTGGTGGGATGGTACCGAGACCCTCTACCCTGAGGGTTGGCAGTTTTCCATGCTGTTTCCAGAAGTCCAGTGGGCCTCTTGCTTTCAGTTGTGTTGTGGGAAAGCAGCCCACCCTGATTCTTTCTCTTGTGGGCTGTTGCAGGAGGAGATCCTTGAGAATCTGGAGAAGGTCTGTGACTGGCTTCCTAGTGGGGAATTAAGTACCGCCTGCAAGCAGATGGTCCAGTCCTACCTTCCCGTCATCTTGGACATGATCAGAGGAGAAATGGTATGAGATGGGAACTTAGACTCTTTCCTTAAGATACACCTGGGGCCCAGGGGGCTGTCAGACAAGACTAGAAGGTCTGCTCATAGATTGATTTCCTCCACAGACATATGTGGGGACCCTGGCACAGCAGAGCACTTTGCTGGGGACTTTGAGGGAAACTCTGCCAGTGTCTTCCCGGGCAAGAAGATGAACTAGTGGTTTTTACCCAAATTATGTTTTTTTTCCTGGATTGGTGAGGGTGTGTAGTTGCTGAGGGACTTCAGAAAGTTCATGGTAAAATGGAATGGAAAGATAATGGAATTTTTCCAGAAGCAATTTGAAGCTCCCTCATAAATACCAGTTTGATAACTCATGTTAGATACTTTGCTTTCCCTTAGAACAAGCAATTAGCTTCATTTCTGTAAATTTACCCTAAAATAATTAGGGAATGTATATCTTTCATCCAGCATGTATCTATCTGTTGGGCACAAACCATGTGGCTAAGGCTGGCTGTTTAGCAGTAACAAGGAGCCAGCTTTGTGGGACCAGGAAAGGCCCGAAGAAGGAAGAGATGTTTAAAAACCTGAGACACAGCTGGTGGGGTAGGGCTATCATGTGGTGAGACCACAGTAGACAGGGACCACCGCATGCAGTGCCTTCTAGGCTGAAGGATTCTAGTTGCGGCATGCAGCATGGCTGTGGTCTCGGCCCCACTGATTGGGGAGTTGCTAGAGGGAAGCTGGGAGAACATTTAGGAGGTTATTGCAAGTGAATAAGATGTGATTGGGGCAGTGGAGATGATGGTGCACTGGAGTTGCTGATGGGGTGGGGGTTGTCTAGGAGATGGAAGGAGTAAGCAGCTGGTGGTAGAGCGATTTGCTTATATGCAGATACGGGAGGAGAGGCACCTGGGGCAGGGTGGAATCAAGGTTTTATTTTTGGATGTGTTACGCTGTTGGTGGGTATGTGTACGTAAGTCAGGATATTAGTTCAACCAGTTGCGGTCAAATCGATTCCAACTCATGGTGACCCATGTGTATCAGAATAGAACTCTGCTCCATAGGGTTTTCAGTGGGTAATTTTTTGGCAGTATACCATCAAGCCTTTCTTCCATGGTGCCGCCGGGTGAACTCAAACCTTCAAACCCTTTGATTAGCAGCCAGGGGTGTTAACTGTTTGCACCACCCAGGGACACCTGAGTCAGAGCACAAGGGCTAAGTAACCTTGGGAGCTAGCAGCGTATGTAAGGTATTTAAAACCCAGTGCATTGCATTAGTTCTTCTGGGGAAGGAGAGAGCCGTGAACTGCTGATACCACTTCCCTCCCTCAACCAGGCATGTTTGGGAGATCGTTGTTTAAGTGAAGATAATATTTTATTCTTTCTCAGGTGTACTGAGCATTTTTGAACTTGAACAAAAACATGTTATGTTGCTTCTTGAGATTTAAGGGACTGTTTTGAAGGAATCAGGTGGCTTGTTTTCTCTGGAGAAGGTTTTCAGTTGGACCTCTTTCCCCACCAGAGCCAGCCTGAGGAAGTATGCTCAGCTCTCAAACTCTGCCAGTCTCTTCAGAAGCACCTGGCTGAGCAGAATCACCAGAAACAGCTCGAGTCCAATAAAATCCCGGAAGTGGACATGTCAGAGGTGGTGGCTCCTTTCATGGCCAACATCCCCCTGCTCCTCTACCCTCAGGATGGTCCCAACAGCAAGTCCCAGCCAAAGGTAAGGCAGCAGGCCAGGCCACGGGGGGCCCTGCTTCTGATGGTATTAGAGATTCATGAAGTGTAGTGAGTGAGACGTGGCTACAGTGTGTGCCTGCGAAAACTGTGGTTCCTCCCATGCCCGTATCCCATAGCATTCTGCGTCTCAGCTGGACTCATTGCCACACACAACTCAGACACGTACTCACAATATGGGGTGGGGTATTACAGAAGATAGCAGGTTACAAGTCCGGATCAGAAAATGCACAGGTCACAGTTCTTGCAGCTTCTCAATCATGGCCGCCGCTGCCCCAGTAAAGTTAACAGAGTTCTCAGTAGAACTGCTGATAACTGCCCACAAGACACACCACTTCACCATAAGCCTCAGCCTAAAGGCGCTTGGCTCCAGCTCCCCCAATTAAGTGCCTGGAGGCACCCTATTCGGCAACCAAGCTTCCTGCCCAAAGTCAGTCCACTTTACTTGCTCCCTGGGCTGAGAAGTGCCCTGCTCTGGCTCTTGGCTCTGCTGCTGCTGCTCCTGTGCCCCTCCTCCAGCATCACAACTTATGTTTGAGGAGGTTCAATACATAGGGGTCTCAGGGTCTAAAGAATGTATTCTGCTCCTGGCTTCTCTTTGATGGTAGTGAGATTAGAGTTCCAAGGTTTTACAATTAAATTAGTCCTGTTAACAGTTATTCACAGCAGAATCATATTATCCTATCAGTATCTTCTCCCACCTTCTCGTACCCATCAGAAGAGTCGTTTGTTGGGAGTTTACCCAGGAGTCCTGGTGTGGTGCTGTAGACCATAAAGTTGGTTTGAACAGTAAGGTTGGTGGTTCAAATCCACCAACTGCTCCTCGGAAACCCTATACAGGATTGCTGTGAGTCGGAATCGACATGACAGCACTTAAAACAACAAGGCTAGCTTCACATTAAATGACGTGCTGTACCACAGTGCTGTTCCTCAGCTGTGGGCCTAGACTTCAGTGTTGTACTGTGGAGCCACAGTTTCCCCCTTTGTTATTAAACCTTATTAAAATGATTGCCTAATTGATTTTAAAGTTGTCAGTAATTTCAAAGCCTGTGAAAACACATTAGGAGCCAGTTTTGGAGCTCACCCCCCGGGATTGCTATCATGTAAGGAAATGCTCCTAGGATTTCTAATCTTTAGTTGCTGTATGCGTATGCAGTATTTATGACCTAACTATTCCATCTCTTTAGGGTAATGGGGATGTTTGTCAGGACTGTGTTCAGATGGTGACCGATGTCCAGAATGCTGTAAGGACCAACTCCACCTTCGTCAAGGCCTTTGTGGACCACGTCAAGGAAGAGTGTGACCTGCTGGGGCCTGGCATGACTGACATGGTAAACCCTGTGACTTTGATAATGCATCTGTTTGCATGTTGCTGTTTAATTGCTCTCCCTGTTTGAGCCCTTCATGGGGCCTGCCATGACCTTTGGCTCCTTTACTGTACAGGTACCCCAAGTATGATAAGGATAGTCTGTCAGACGCTACAGGCGCTCCTGATTGATAAGAAAATAGTTTAAAAATCATAAATTGGCTCAATCAGGTTTAGACATTGGGATACTAATCCAAGGCTGGTGGTTCAAACCCACCAGACTGCTCTATGGGAGAAAGATGAGGCTAACTGTGCCTGGTGCGACACTGAGGGTTAATGCGCTGGACTGCAAGGTCAGTGGCTCAGGCTCACCAGCTGCTTCTCGAAAACCCTGTACAGCGTCGCTGTGAGTTGAAACTGACTCGATGGTACTTAACAGCCAGACAACAATCAGTGTCTGTAAAGATGCGTCTTGGAAACCTTTTATAGGGTTGCTTTGAGTTGGAACCAACTCGATGGCAGTGGGCTTGTATCATGTAGGAGTCCTGGTATGCCCCATGACTGAAGCGCTAGGCTGCTAGCTACAAGCTCGTTGGTTCAACTCCACCAGTTGCTGTGTAGGAGAAAGATGAGGCTGTGTCTGCTTCTTGGAGAAGTTCTGTTCTGTCGGTTTTCTGAGAGTCAGAATTGACTTGGTGGCAGTGGGCCTGGGTTATGCCACCACAGCCATTGGAAACTTAGTCATTGCTGGGACAAGTGTGGAGATTGGAGGGCACTGAAAATGTTTTCAAAACACCAATTGTACATGTTTTCCTATGAAGTTACAGAATAACCTACTTGTCATTAAAACTTGCTCAGAGTAGACATTTTTCTAGTCCCACGCTTGGAAACTTGCTTGAAAGTCACCAGTCACTGGCAGAACTTTTTTTTTTCACTTGTGTTGTTTCAGTGATGAGTTTCACTAACAAACCTGTTTTCTCTCTTCCCCAGTGCAAGAACTATGTCGACCAGTATTCTCAAATTGCTGTTCAAATGATGATGCATATGGTAGGTGGCAGGGAAAAAGCCATGTCAGCCTTATTCTTTGCCTCAAACTTAGTATTTTCTAAGACTTTTGAAAATCATCTGGTTTCCCATTTTGACCACAGGGTTACTAAATAGGGCCAGCACGAGCCCCCTTTGACCCACAGTCTGGGTAATATGCTCCTTGGCAAGAGGAGGCCGAACCAGCAGGACACTTAGGACTGCCCTGGTGGCTTCCTGGTAGTCTATTTGCTGTGTACATGTGAGCTGGCCATGGGATTTCTAGGACCTGGCTTTAACCTGGGGACCTGTAGAAGTCATTTGCTGTGTAGCCAGCCTGCGTTCTGGAGGAGCTGGCCCTGTTCCCTGCAGCAGTGTTAGCTGTAGTTGCTGCTTGAGCTGGTAGTCCCCATGCTTAACTTTTCCTGCATCCAGTGGTAGGAGGTGTTCATTTGTATAGTCAGTCAGAGGTAGAAAGTGGTGGCTGTTTTCCTTGCTCATGGGTTAGCTAGCCCTGTGCAGAGCAGGACATTCCATATGTCAGGAGAGCACACTTGGCCTCCTTAGTTCCAGGTGACACATCCTTGAAGTGTCAGGCCCTGGTCCTGTGCCACGTGGCTTCTTAGCTGAAAGGTCTTTACATTCTCAAGAGTTCTCATTGCCATCCAAGCTCAAGAAAGTAGGACCTTCAGTCTTCAAGCTCATTCTTAAACCCAGAGGTCAGAAACTATGGGCCTCCTCATGTTTTAGTAAATGGCCCCCCCGGACCCAATGATTGGAACACAGCCATGCCCAATCATTTAGCAGTTTCATAGTGACAACAGAGACCTTATGACCCCAAAAGCCTAAAATATTTACAGAAAAGTTTAGTGACCCCCTAGTCTAACCACTGAAGTAATCCATTTAGGCACAATCAGGTTTATTTGGGATTATTATTCACATTTCTTGAACAACGTCTGTTTAAAACATTTAAAGGCATCTTAAAAGACACACCTGATAAACCTTTGATGTGGCTTGATTTAGTTTTAAGTGCTTGCTTGTAGCTAACTTAAAAATACTTCTCTCATTATTAAACTTAACACTATAAAGGATTATTTTTAAAACACAGATAATAATTCTTTTTTTGTTAATTGTTTTTCTCTAAAAACATATTGCTCATAAGTTTTCAACCATCTTTAAGTGGCTGTATCCTGATCCACACGTGGATGGAATCCACTTTATGTTTGATGCTTTGGCTACACATCTTTGTAGCCAAATGTATATTCAGCTCCTTGTTTTTGTCCTGACTGTATATATCACTACAATTGCCTTGCTGAATCAGAGAAAAGCCAGATTTTAAGACTTTTGATATGGTGTCACATTGTGCTTTTGCCCTCTTGGGTTAGTTTGTCAGGAGGCCTGGGCAAATGGAGACTCCTGGTGTCCTTTATGTGATTGTGATGCCTGCTCCTTGTTGAGGCGGCCCCCAGTTCCCATCACTCTCCAGTGGGGAAGAATTGCAGGTGTGTTGGGGTCAGGCCTCTGAGGATAGAGACCTTCCTAGAGTGCTCCCCATTTCTGGGGAGTGTTCCGAGCATGACTTAGTGTGTCAGGGACACGGGGACGGTGCACTCCAGCTGGGGCCAGAGTAGCTTTCAAGACCTGCTTGTCCACACAAGAGGAGAAGCAGGTAGGTTACTGATAGTCAACTGCCAGGTATTTCCAAAGTTGCTTTGGGACCTCCTTATACCTGGTTAACTGCTCAATGGTTATTTTAATTTTTCTTAACTGTTGTGTCCTTTCCTTTCTCTTATTTTCACCTCCGATTCCCCGTTATTTTGTTCTCACCAGCAGGATCAGGTATGTGATGGGGATATTCGCTTGTGGTAGTGCTCTGCTGCCCATCTGGTTTTTGTCTGGCATGATCAGCTCTGACAGATTCAAGGACTGATTGGGACCAGCAGGGTCCCATCCTCCCTCTGTGATCCAGAGCTCTAGGTGTTGGGGGGGTCTCACTCACCCCCATAGGGGTCAGAGCCAGCAGAGCCAGTGCATGACAACATGGGTGGCCTGAGGGAGCATAAGCTTTCTTGGCTTTTGGAAGCGCTTCTGCTGCATGAGCAAGTGGTGTGCTGACAGCCAGTAGACTGTCCCTGTCTTGTCGGATCCAGAGAGTTGGAAACAATCTCTTGATTGTGGCTTCTGCCCCTCTGGTGATGGGTGATCTGTGGGGTTGGGAGCCATGTGAGACCACCCAGCAACCAAGCCAGCAGCTCATGCCAAAGAGAGGAATCCCCTTCCCTCAGACCCTGCCTGCTCCTCTCCCTGATGAACACTTGATGGAGCCACAGGGCCAGCTCTCCCATTTGGGGCCCTCCTCAGCACTGCTGCCTGTCTCTAGGTTACAGATTTTCCCTGAATAAAACTCACCTTGAAACTAATCATGGTGACCTCTTTCTAAAACAACTTCTATGCCTTCTACCCATCTGACAACTCCCCCTTCTTTAGGTGTTTCAGAGACAGCTTACTCGGGATATACTTTGTTTCGACTCCCGCTTTTATTTCATTCTAGCACCTGCTGGATGAGAAAACCGAGGACCATAGTCATGGTCTAGCTCCCTTTACAGGTCTCGTTTTTAGTAGCTCTGTTCCCACTGCTTTAGGGTGTGTGTGTGGTAGGAGGCAAATGCCATCAGGCCCAGAACTAGGTGCAAAGTGTACAAAGTTTGTATACCTGTCTCTCTTGGCCATCTCAGTGTAATGGATAGAATGTCCACTCTTTCTAGTTCTTTGATTGGGTGCCTGGATGCTGAAAGGGGATCAGTTTTGGGGCTTTGTGAATTGCAGTAATTCACCAAATTTGAGAACCCACATTTATGTGTACTGTGTCTGTGGATCTGGGACATTAAATGTGGTTTTAAAAAGTCATTTCCCCTTAATGCATCACTGATACGGTCCTGCCTCTGAAATTGGCTTTCTGTTAGTTGATAGGGATAGTATTTCACTCTCTTAAAAGGATGTCTAGTTTACTTCCTACCAAGGAGGAGCCAGTTCATCTGAAAACCAGGTGCTAGAGCAGACTAGCTGTCCTTGAAGATGTTCCACTTGCCTAGTGAAGGTGCTGGGAAGTTTTGCTTTCTTAGGATGCCCTTGGTTGGAGCACAGGGGTAACTGGTACCTGTGCACTGCACTTTTCAATTGACTGTGGAATCTTTGTGTGGTGGGAAGTGGGTCTATGGCCCCCTGATCTCTGTCGAGAGGCTAGGGTGAGGGGAGTGGGGTGTTGGCTTGCACCTGACAGGTTTCACATGCCCTTCTCAGCAACCTAAGGAGATCTGTGGGACAGCTGGATTTTGTGACAAGGTGAAGGAGATGCCCATGCAGACTCTGATTCCTGCCCAAGCGGCCATGGAGAACGTCATCCCTGCTCTGGAGCTGGTGGAGCCTGTTAAGGTACCAGGGGCACTGCCAGGTGCTGCAAGGCTGGTGTGGTTCTAATTCCCACCGTAGAACTGTCATCCCTAGTGTGTCACATTCCATGTTCACATAGGGTTTGGTTTCCCCATACCAGTGCAGCCCCCAGAGTTCTTGCAAAACAGTCCTTGCTTATAAACTCGAGTGCTTTCCCTTTGGTAGCATGCCACTCAAGATGCTTTTTCTGTGTCCTCCAGATGTGCTCGCTGAGTCTCCTTCCCTGTCCCCTTTCCCAGAACACCCCTCTGTGGGATTCTTGCCTGCACTAGTGTGGCTGTGTATATATTGTTTCTTCACACATCCTGTAGGCCAGACCCTGTTTTAGGCATTGAAGCCACAGTGGTGAACAGAATGATGGCCTTGTGCCCATGGGACTTTCCTCTAATCCTGTCTGGCATCTCACCTAACACAGGTTCCACTTGATAGCTGTCTGTCTTGTCTCCCCCTGCTCTGCCTTTTCTCTGTAGGTTGTGCCCCACAGGAAGGGCTGATGACATGTCAGATTGGAGTTTGGGCAGCATAGCGCATGCTCTTCTCCGCTTACTCCAGGAATGGCCACAGTTCATGAAGAACCATTAGGGAGTTATACTCTAAAGCTGCCCAGAACAGTAGCCATTAGTCACACTTGACCACTTAAATTAAGGTGACATGAAATTTAAAATTAATTTCCCTAGTTACACTAGCTACATTTTCTGTGCTCAGTAGACACATGTGGCTAC